CATAATGTTACAGATACATTTAAATAATTAGTTTTTTTTTCTATCAACTCTAACAGCTGATAGAAAGGGCTGTAAGTCAAATAAACTAGGGGTCTATGGAAAATGCTCACGGCTTATTCACATCTACTTTGAGAAGATAATCCTGAGACAATAAATGGGGTTTTAGAATGAAGGTAGTAGTGTGGAACTGTGCCAGTATCCACAGATTCTGTCTTTATAAACCTGCCAGACAGCCCTTGCTTGAGAAATTCAGGCTAAAGACAGCATGTGCTACAATGGGAAAATGGGGAAAAGACAAGTTAATTTTTTTAAAGGCAAGTTACTTTAAATTTTATGTAAATTACACTAATTAGCTCATGAAAATATGAAATAAATGTTATAAAAATGTGATTTGAGGATCTCAACAAACTTAAGAAAAAAATCTGAGTATTGCTTTAAACATGCATAAAATATGCACTGATGACAATGAAACAAGAGAAAAAAGCCTTGCAAGATGTTCCTGTGGTTTTCAAGAGGAAAAATAGAAAAATGTTTAAGCTAACAGAAGTAAAAAAGTTCAACAGCATTGGTGATATGTAAATGGAACATAAGCCAAAAACTTAAGTAGAATGAATCATTAGATCTTCTGAAGAGGTCCAAGAGGCAGAATGATTCAGCCGTTTTATCTCCCATTCTGAATTTTTGAAAAGTATGCAGATTATTAGAAAATTGTTACAGACCTCTTCCTTCAAAGGGAAGTTATTCTCATATGGGATGAGAAATGCATTCTGTCTGTGATGATTGTTCTGTCTAGAACATCTTTTGCTGATAGGAAGACAGTACCAACAGAATTTCTACTAAAAAGAGGGAAGGTCTAGTCTCCCGAATGTATAGGCTACTTTTCTTGTTGCTGAGACAAAATATCTGATACCCCAAGTTAAAGGAGGAAAAGATTATTTGGCTTACAGTTTCAGTCAAGGCGGGGTGGCACATGGCAGAGGGGCAACAGTTCATAGTGGCAGAAGACAGCAAAAGCAACAAGAAACCTTAACAGCATCTTTCTGCTCCTTTTACACTCTGTCTAGGCTACTGGGATTAGGGCAGTACCTAACCAGTCAGTATAGTGGTTTAGTAATTACACACTCTTAATCCCAGAGTCACATACTCAAGATTCAGCCACCTCTGAAAAAGCCCCAGCTAAAACTGCATGAAGTTTTGGGGGAACATCTAGGCACAAACCGTAACACCAAGTAACAATTCTCCGTAGAAAATGCGTGTCACTAATATCCTTAGAGGGATTCAGTTGTAGAGAAACTGTTTACTATTTTAGTGAAATAAAACAGCTTTAGAGTCAGACTTCCTGTGTTTGAAACCTAGTTTTAGCCCTTACTAATTGTTTGGATCTCAATGTGCCTCAGTTTCCTCATCTAGAAGATAGGGATAATAATTTTACCTAATTTATAAAGTTGTCTTGGATACTAACTGACTTATTGAATAAGGCTTAGAATAATACTAGAAATATAGTAAACATTCAGTAAATCTTTTTATTATAACTATATTCACTTACTCATATTGGCTAAGATGAAAAAGAATAAATTCTAAATTTTGAAAATAAAAACATATGACTGCTGAAATAAACACTAATTATTAGGTTAGACACAGCTGAAGATCAGATTCATGAGTTGGATGGTCAAGGAAAGGGCTTTTCCTTAAAAACAATGTCAAATGAAAAAAAGACAGTATGAGAGGATATCTACAACTTTTTACATCTAATAGAAGCTCTACACAGAAAATACGACAGAATGAGGAGGAGGGAAACTGTATTTTCTTTCATAATGGAAAGAATGTTCATAGTATTAAAGAAGGACTCAAATATAAATTTGGCAACTGCTGAGCAGAATTAATGAAAAAAATCTCCATTCTGTAAAATGAAAGATTTAAAAAACCCAAAGCTGCTGAAAGAAAAAAAAAAGACATTTTCTACATAAATCAGATTGATATTAGACTTCTTACCAGCTATATTACATAATAGATTTTAAATTCTGATCAGAAATGATTTGGAACCAGTTTTGTTTTTAGCCAAATTAGCTTCCAAAAATAATGTGGATCATTTTTTAAAAAAGAAATGTTATAGGAGAGCATACATTTCTGCTATTACTACTGTTTCTATTTTTCAAAACTTAGAGGCCTCATGTGCAGGATAAAATTGAAAGCATTTGAGGAAGATTGATGTTTAATTCAGTTTAATTGAATGAAAAACACTGCCCACAAAGCTACATAAGTCTTATCTGGAGGCACTAAGTATTGTGTTCAAATTGAAGAACTCTAATTATGATTGCACAATAAAATGATAAAGCCAATATATAGATTTAATTTTAAAAATAAGTATTTTCTAAGATGGCATAGTATGTAATGAGAAATCTTAGGTACCAAACAAGGTATTACATTTGTTAAAGTAGGAGAAGAATGTTAGTCTTGTGGAGATTCCAGGCCTTGATAAATTTATCCCCAGTGTTTTCAGCCAGTTGTGTAACTTTTTTAGTTTCTCCACAAATAACTTCGTAATTTTACTTTAAAATGCCAGTCCTCCATTTTAAACTAAAAAGGCAGCAGCAATATCATACTGGTTTAAGTGTGCCCCAGTGGAGAAGTGTAACTTCAAGTTTCTGACACTTTTTAAAAACTTACAAATATTCAAAGCAAAGAGAAAAATTCAGATAGCCGGGATTAAAAGCGCAATGCCTTGGACATGGCACCTCCTTGACAAAAAGGGAGATGGAATTGTCCCCTGTTGGGGTCTGTGTAGTAGCCATAGAAGCACATGCTCACGCTTCTCTCAGATACTGTTCTGTTTGTAATGAACATCAGCTTGAAAATAAACCTTAATATTGATTTAGTTTCAGTTTTTTTTCAAATGCCTACCATGGTCCAAAAGTGTTTTATCTGTAATGCATTAAAACTATAGGAAGAATAATTAAAGTTCTACTGAGAAAAACGATAGATACTTCACAGGGTTGGAATCCAAATCCTTTGGGAAGCCAATTTAAATTTAATTCTTAACAGGCAGTGGTTCCGATTTTGGAGAAACATTAACACTACTTCCAAAAGTCTCCCTTGTTTCGTTCTTCCTTCATCCAAATAGTGGTCTCCCATGCTTTCAGCCCAGAAGCATTTACAGTAAGTAGAACCTGTTGAATAAAACTGTATCAATAATATACAAATCTCAGAAAATACTGAGTTTCTTCCTCACTTATTTAAAACCTGGACAGGTCTGAAAAGGTTACTGAGGTTCGAGACTAAAAGTTTTCTGGGAATCCACCAGGTGCCCAACCTTCTGGACCAGAAAGATGAGTGAAACAAGAAGGGAAAGAGAGCACAGAAGTTGCTGAGAGGAGAAAGAACACAAACCTGAAACAACACAAACCACCGTTGGCATCTCAGGAAGGGCTCACTGCATGCCTCGGACTTAGTACAAGCAATTTCTCCTTCAAAAGTAAAATGTTATCACTCACCATAAAATCCATGAACTACATTAAGTATTGAATAGCAGCCCCCCACCAAGATCCATGAAATCTACTGCTGAGTAGGACCTGTATTATCCTGTATCTGCTTTCCAGTTTAACTCATGTAACAAGCATCCAAATGCCCTTAGCCAGTAACAAAATACTATTCTTAATTTGTGAGTCATATAAAAAGAGACCATAAGGAATTTGGTCTGTGGTTCATAGTTTGCTGGCTTCTCCATTAGTGAGAAATGAAGAGGCAAGGAAAACAATTTCAACCAAAGACAGAAAAAGGGAAATGGATAAGGGGTAGACAAGAAAGCACAAAGAAATATGACAAATAGGAAACAGGAAAGATACCAGGAAGAGAAAAGTTACCCCAATAAATGTGAATGAAGAAAACTTTTCTAGTAAAGATGAGAGATTCTCAGACTGGCTGTAGCCTAAGTGGTAATAGGGTATAGAAAAGTACATCATGGCATATCTGTAGTATTAAACAGTGCTCTTTGTTTGCAACTAACTACTATTCATCCCTGCCAGCTGAAATAGTATACTGTAAAGATATTCATGGCAGTAGGAAAGGTGGCTCCACAAACTGGCAAGACTTGTGGAAACCAAAATTGCCTCTTGTTATAAATTAAAATCAGTTTTAAGAGGCCCAGTTCAGCAATAAGAGTTTTTTATCTTACTACAGTATGTTGTCTTTATCTTGCTCAACTACCTCTGCTTTCTGTGCTATTTGTTCTCCCCTGGTCCTGGGTAACATTTCTGAGAAAGTACAAATATTTGGCTGGCCTGGATAGTTAACTGCATTTGGCCCAGGGTTTTCATGCTTCATGGACTATTGCACAGAATGTGGATTGGCTGCCTCGAGCTTGGCAGCTCCCAGTCTTTCTAGATGTTGTGGTCAGAGAGAGCTGGGTATTCATCTGATGGAAGGCTCATCTAGGGCTGCCTGCTTAGCAGCAGGGTAGATTTTCCCTGGAGAAAAGCATTGTTACCACAGCGAATACACCGTTGAGCATGTTTTATAGCCACTGCACAGTTTGCTTTTTCTTTAAAATTTAAAGTGATTAGCATTGAAAATGGCAGTCACATTTAGAGACTGGGGAGTACAGAAAAGGAAATATTACAGGGAATTTACATGACTGGGAAATGTTCTTTGCTTACTACTTTGTAAACCTCACAACACAGTCTTTTCTATCATAGGTAACTTGGTTTATAAAGCCGTTTAGTTAGGGTTGTTAAAATCTTGGACAAGGAAGGGTAGATATCAAGGAACTTTCTAATCTTGATATTTTAATAGCTAGTTTTGACTTGAAAAGTAGTTTTTTAGACTACCAAATCCCTTTAAAAATATTCTCTGATACATATATTACTTATTTAAAACCCAAGATTAATACTGAATTTATGGTAATATCCTGAAATGCTTATTTTTATAATAAAATCACAAAACCTAAAAAAAAATTATATGAATATTATTAAATTGTAACCAAACATTTGTCAAATTCATTCTAGGTTGGGCCATGCAGGCTGCTGCCTATATCTTCATTCACAGGAAGTGGAAGGATGACAAGAACCATTTTGAAGACATGATTGATTATTTTTGTGATATCGGTGAACCACTTCAACTCCTCATATTCCCAGAAGGGACTGATCTCACAGGTAAGACAGATTGGGTGTGGGTCACACAATTTTAAAACATAGCAGAACTTGGAAATTAGGTAGTCAAAACAATTTATTCTTCAGGTGAAGTAACTGAATGCCAGCGGGACTTCATTTACCACCCATAAGAACAGTTAATCTGAGGTCACTCAGTTAATCGCTGGCACATCAGGACCCACGATTCATGGTTTCCAGCCCACTGATTTTTTTTTATAGATAGATGCAGTCCGTCATTACTATTCATGCTTGCTATTCTAGACCATTTTGAGCCTCAGAATATATTTTAAAATAGTCTTTATCTTTATGTAAGCAGAGCTTTAAGATTATCTTTTAAGTAATTTTTCCTTACCTGTTCTATATATTCTCTTGTCCTATTCCAAGGTATTTATTTATCCTTTAAACCCCCTTTGCCCCTCATTTTTTCCTTACAAGAAAAAAAAATCTGAGAGAAACTAATTTCGGTTTTGTTGATTTAAATTTATGTGTTAGCTTTCTCTTAATATTTAAACCTTTTCCTTACTGTAAGTAGGAAAGGCTTTGGCATATCTGTAGTAATAAGGAACAACATTCATCACTGCCAGGTGAAATAATAAAAGTATTCTGAGATATGCATGGCAGTAGGAGTGGTGGCTCCTCAAGAAAAACCAGGCAGCATTGAGTTGTAGAGGGGACTCAGGAGGATGTGTTTAAACTTTTCTACCTGATTTAAAAAGGAATACTATACAGTCCATCGTGCTAAATCAGTGGTTTTCACAGTTAAACTATAGATCATTTTGGCTGTAAAATGGGTAAGAGTAGAACTTGCCTGGTTGAGTACTGGGAGGCGATGGGTTGAAGGGGATGTAGTTTAGACAGGAAGCAGTTACAACTTCAAGAAAGATACAACGGAGTTGAAGAAAGCTCCAGTGGGTGAAGGTCTGCTTTCCAAGGGAAAAGACAGAAGAAAGATAGAATGCAAGTCTAAAAATCACAACTACTACAGAGAGAAGGAACATGAATTTTTCTTCCCGATCTTTGTTACTAAGTCAAGAAGGGAAACCCTTAGAACTTAGGAGAAGAGAACAGGTAAATGGACAAACTAAATCATAAAGTGGACATAGTAATTTATGGAACCCATCACCCCAAAAAGTTCAAAATAAAAAATACAAATTTCACAGATACTTGAGCAGTGACAGAGCCATAGTAGGTTGATAAAGGAAATTAGGGTATCTTGGAAAATGTTTACAGTAGATGGCAATAAAGAATTCTCGGACTCATCTGTTGCAGATGGAACTGCTACATAACTGTGGCAGTTTCTGTGTACTAGGCAGGTCTCTAAAATATATGCTTACCGTGCAGTGTATGTTTGCTTTTATGTTTAAAATTCTAAAAGTAGTTGGATCAAAGAGTATAATACGGAGAGTAGTATCTCCAGTCTGTTGTTTAAGCTTGAAAATAAATTGCAACGATTGTATTATAAGTTGATTCCTGGAGCTAAACTATCAGGAAATTATAACAGCCATATTTATATTTTATAATATTTAGACTATACAGTACAGTCATAACCCTGGTACCTGACTGCTTTGAAACCTCTCGGATTTGTTACTCGGCACATTTTGATGCACACATTTTGCTCTAGAACTCATTGTTTGGTACTCCACTTGCAAGCTAAAATTTGTCGTGCCATTTGCTTTCTGATTTGCTATCCTTTCCAACCAAAGCAGTTTATTTGGTCATTTGTGGCTCTCCTTACACTCCTGGAACCAACAAGTGCCGGGGTACCTCTGTACTAAATGCGGCTGTCAGCTTCACTTGATAAATACAGAATATAAAAAGCCATTTACTGAAATGATAACTTGATTTCTTTCAGAATGCCAAAATGTACATTAAAGAGTAGCAAGTTTGGAACTTACTTAATCAAATAAAAGCAAATGGGAAGAGGTCATGCATCACTCATCCTTTGGTACATTAGTGTTAATACGGTCATGCAGTAGACTTTCAGCCTATATAAAATATAGTTAAAACACTTCATTCCATATTTTTTCTCAAGTTTCGTTTGTAGGTGATGGACTTCACATCCCGTTACTTGTTGAGAGTCCACAGTACTCCCTGTCACACGATATTTTCAGAAGTTCAGACATTTACATTTTGAGACCAACTTGCAGAAGCCACAGTATTTGCCATTAGAGAAAACAGACTGTTTCTGAAGGTTTACAGAGTGTTTTTTCACATAATTATACAGATAATTTTACTGAGTTAGGAAAATTTTTTTTTTTTAATCGAACTCAGGACCTTGTGCTTGCAAGGTAGGCGGCAGCATCACTGAGCTAAATCCCTGGCCAGGGGAAAAAAATGTTAATAAACTAACAATTTGGAAAAAAAATCTGTTACTTAAGCAATGTTTCTAATTACCACGGTTGGATTTTTAAGCCTAAAGAGATCATTTTAGAATCTACTTTTAAGTTCTGAATCTAGTTTGCTTGCACATTTTCAAGTTCGTACATTTAAATGTTACTTTATATACAATCTGTCTTTATATATTGTTGGTTATAACTTTTTTCTGATTAATAGAATATGTTAATATTGGGAAATTTAGAGAAGTTTATACACTGCTATAATCCCACAGCCCATAAGTAAGCACCATTCTAAATTTAATCCATTTTTCTTGGATTATTTGGGCACAGTTGTGCACATGCATGCACACATATTTATGTTATGCATATACACATGTATATAATCATGGAAAATTGGAAAATTGAGCTGGGCATGGTGGCACACGCCTGTGATCCCAGTACTCAGGATGCTGAAGCAGGAGAATTGCCATGAGTTCAAGGCCAGGCTGAACTATATAGGGAGAACCTGTCTTACAAAATTTTTTAAAAAATGGAAAATTGAGATCTTGCTTTTGTCTTTTTTTCACTTAGTGTTATAATCATTCTCACCATTGTTTGTATTATATTGATGTACTGGGGTTCATCAGAGAAACAGAACCAATTAAATATGTGTAGGGAGAGAGAGGTTGGGGTTTATTCTAATGAAGTGGCTTCTGGGATGTTGGATGCCTGGCCAGTCCAGAATCTTTAGGGCAGCAGGTTAGTCTGGGGAAGTTGCAGTTTGAATCCAGAAGGGGTCTAGAGCCAGAAGTCCTTCCCTGTAGGTGAGGGGCTGGAACCCAGGTCCTTTGCACTGAGTATGAGTCAGGGATTCTCTAAGTTGCCCAAACCAACTCGAAATTGTAATCCTATTGCCTTAGCCTTGCAGAGTGCTAGAATTACAGGCATCCACCACCATGTCCCAGTCCCTGTCTTTCTGTTAAATCTTTCAACTGATTTGGATGAGGCCCATCTGAACGATGGAGGATAGTCTGCTTTATTCAGTCTACTGATTTAAATATTAATCTTACTTTAAAAATACCTTCATAGGGCTGGAGAGTTGGCTCAGTGGTTCTGCCGCCTGCTTCTCAAGTGCAAGCATTTGATCCCCAGTACCAATAAATAAACAAACAAACAAACTTGCTTCACAGAAACATCTAGAATAATATTTGATCAAATCCTTGGATACTGTGGTCTAGTCAAACTGTCACATAAAATTAACCAATACAGTTCTTATACTGTACTTTTGAATTCCATTACCTGATTTGGAAATGAAAACTCTAAGTTTTAATAATTATATTGCATACAGTTTACTACCTTTGTACATAAAATGTGTTCATTTAATATGCCTGGAGCTTTAATATACAAAAGAAAATCCTTTCATGAAACATACATGAGGAAAGAAAGAATAAACCGGTAAGTTAAAGTATATACAATTATTGTAAGTTCTATGAGAAAAAAATGAATTAGGATAAGGAGCTATTTGATAGAGAGTGGGTGGGCAAGCCATTCTGTTAAATTTCAGTTTAAGGAAGAACTAAATGAACAAAGCTGAGAATTGTGGGACTGATGGTGAGAGGCCTTCTCGGTACAAGGAAGAGCAGCTGCACAGAGCTGAAGCGGGAAATGTGCCTGGCTGGTTTGAGGGGAGAATGGCCCAAGTGCCCTAAGTAGAGGAAGTGCGGGATGAGTGTTACCAGGAGTGAGGCACAGGCAGGAGCTTGGCTTACCAAGGAACAGTTCTGGGATGGGTAGATGAAATGGGGTGAAGGGAAAATCTGCAGACTAATCTATTTCTACCTTCGCACATCAGGACTGTACATTTTGAAGCTGTTTATACCTGTATTCATGTGTACAGAAAAATTCTGTTTAGAATATCCCCGGCGTTTCCCACAAGAGCAGAGCAGTGAGCAGTCAGTTACTCCTCATCGTTGTGCTGTCTCTGGGGTTCCTAATGGCATTCGAGTTCTGTCAGCTCGCTGCCTGCTGCAGAAATACTGTTTTGTAGTCCCCATGCCCAGGAGATTTCCAGATGAATGTGGGAGCAGCTTATTCACTTGCCATGCTTGGGGCCTTTCCTTTTCATTTGGAGAAGATTTGAGGGGTTCTGACTCAATTCCTCTATTAAAACATAACACCACCTTAAGAGTGTTCTTTGGATATTTTTGTAATGTGGCTTGCATCTGTGGTGTTTGGAAGTTGGGAAACTCAGTGATCTATAAATTTACTCTTAGGAAACGTGTATTTATTTAGGTATTTTTCTTGTGCTCAGAATGAATCTGTAAGCTTCAGAGTGCAGCTGAGGATTGCGGGTTTTAACATCTGCTGTCATCAGAAGCATTGCCTGATCTCTCCCAGCAGTTGAGACCACATTTCTGAGCACTACTTTTTCCAAATGTATGTGCTGAATAATGGGTTTGGTTCTTCTTGGAACTTGTAAAGTTACCTCACAGAATGGAAAAAGAAGTTTTTGCCAGCAGTTGGAACATAAACTTGACTCCTGTGTTCAGCCAAACCATGTTCAGATGTTTGTCCAGGATGTACTAATCGTGTGCCCCTTGTGTGGTGAGCGTTCTGGGTTCGCATCACCCAGCCCTGTGCTTGGGCAAGGCCAATAGCTTGCAATGTAGACTCAAATTACCAAGTAAAAAAACAATGTTGACCTGATATATTTGAGAGCTAATTATTTCTTCTGGATGTCTAGATCCTTACATTGTATTCGTTTTTGTTTTTTTATTTATTTTTTTATCATATTAGCATTTTTAAAAATTTCAGTTTTAATTACAAAGGGTTTTATGAAAATTTTAGTTTCTTATCTTTGTTTTACTTTTCATTATATTAACTTTCATGAATTCTAACAACTTAAAGTCTTGAATATAAATTTCAGAAAATTTCTATTTAAAATCTTTTGATGCCTTGTTATAAAATTTTAAAAATCAGATTAGATTGGGATCTTTGTAAAGGACTAGCTTAAAAGGTTTGAATTATATCAGTATACTGTATTCAGTAATTACAGTACATTAACTGTTATCTTTTTATTTAAAAAATACATGCCTTTTCTTACCTCTCTTTTTAGGGTTTCCAGTCATCTGATTTTTTTTTTCCTTTTAGAAAATAGCAAGGCTCGAAGTAATGATTTTGCTGAAAAGAATGGACTTCAAAAGTACGAATATGTCATACACCCAAGAACTACAGGCTTCACTTTTGTGGTAGACCGTTTAAGAGAAGGTAGGCACCCATCTCAAAATATACTTTTCTTTTTTGGTAATGAAAGTGGATAAAATTTCTGAACTTTATATATGGTAATTTAATTTCCAGCAAGCTGTTTTGTATAGTGGTGACATCTATGACAAATACTCATCATCTGGTAATTACTACACTCTCATAAAACTGCCTGCACCTAACATGAAAGGCCTCAAACCATTATGTAAGAAAAGGTATAAAATTCTTCTTTCCCTAGTGACATTAAGATACAAAGCATAAGCTACCACAGTGGGGATTCATTACAATTATTAAGTACCCATGATTGTAAAGAAATTATACTAACAATTCAAAAATCACATTGATATGGTAAACCAAAACTTTCATCCTACTAGTTTTTCTGTGTTGGGAATTCTGTGGTCACTACTGGTTTGGCACAGATTTGGGGGCTTAACATTCCATTGTGTATGAGTAGTAAGTGCCCGTCTCTCTGCAGAAGCTCATGGAGGAGGTAGTTCTTGCCACCTTGGAGTAAACTGGCAAAGCACCAAGACATTAAAGTGGTGGTGCCTGCTTCTTTCTTGCCTTTTTTTTTCTTAATGTCCCATCTAATTTAGATTCACCCTTCTGAGCCAATAATACGGTTTGTATTTTATGATTTTTAATGATTTCTTTAAAGCACTTCTGACATGAAACGCATTTGTCTACCCAATTTCTCTGTAAGCAAAGCGTGACTCTGGAACACATCCTTTGCTAATAAAGGTCTTCCTAAACATAGGCAGGAAAATTGAGAGATTATTGTTTAGGAGGGTATAGGCTATGTCTAAAGGTCTGAAATCTAGAAAATATTTTAGTAGCACATTGATAATATAACTTTGCTACACATTTGAGGAACACTCAGAACACTAGTCAGCAGCTGTAATTAGTCATTTTTTCTGCCAGAACTGATCCCCTGCCCCATATCAGTATTTTTAAAAAAGCAAGGAACACAGATGATTCCATTTCCTTCAGTTGGAAAACTAGATGACTATTATATTAGAAATGTAGACTGTGATCTACGCACTATAATAATAAATGTAAGAAATATGTTGATGATAAAACAGTAATAGCAGCTATCATTAATATAGCATTTACTGAATACAAGAAAGTATGGTATTTCTATACTTAAATTCAATTAATCCTCATGACAGTCCTAGACAATAGTTATCACTCAGGGTGCAAAACCAGAGTAGAAATTGAGGGGAAAGAAACTCATCAAATTTACTGCAATAGTTAAACTGAGTAGCACACTCTTTCTATAGTAAATTGTTGCTTCCTGTATTTATAGCATGATTTTGGGGTTTTTTTGTTTGTTTTGGTACCAGGGGTTTAACTCATTACCTTGCGCTTGCGAACCAGGCACCAGAACCATTGAGCTAAATCCCTGCCCCTATAGCATGATTTTTGTTTACAGAATATCCAGATCCTAAAGCACCTGTGTAACAATAGTGAGTGGTGTGGGTCAGAGTGAAGAGGGAGGAAAAGTTTCATTCAGGATCAGAGGTGGAGAGGATCTTAGAGGCCACAAGTCCAGAGTACCCTTGTAGACAAGTAATCCAAGAGTCAGAGGGTCCAGCACAGCTTCCTTATATTTACAACTCTGAGCTCTGCACTGAAGATAAATGGTGTGCATTTTGTATTTGCTTTATTATCCTGCTATATTATAACTTTTTTGAGGTTATGAATGCCCTACCAATAGAAAGGGCTTGGTCAGTATTACTTGCACAGAATATTTTTAGATTTTGTCTAAAAAGACATGTGTGGCCTCCCATGTTCTCAAAACATTGTATATCACATGGATAGATATCTGTCTTGGGTGACTTATTTCATACATACGTCTAATCACAGAACTTTTCAATATGTGACCATGTAATTTTTCTGAATACTAGAATAATCCAGACTCAAACATAGGTTGCTGATTTAGAGGAAGGAGGCTTCACATGAAGAAAGTTCATTGTGTTTCTTTTAATTACACAGGATAATAAATTCATAACAAAGTTTTAAATTGTTAATCACTGCACCAAAAATTACTTATATTCATCATAACCTCTGGTGTTTCACTGTGCTTAATAATAATGACTTAATTCTTCTTTGACTACCAATAATGATTAGGCCCATTACTGAGTTGTAATAATTCATTTCACCATTAGGCGGCAAAAGTGTTCACATTTGAAACAATTTAAAATTAGGTTAGAGAAGCTATGCGAGGGTGGAAAACTATTTACAAGTATGACTTATCCAAGATGTAACTTTGCTTTCAGGAAGTTTACAGTCCTCACAGGTAGATAAAATGATACATAACTGAGATGGATGTGGTGGTGCATACCTGTAACCTTAGCTACTCAGGAGGCAGAAACAGGAGACTTACAAATTGGAGGCCAGCCTGGACAATTCAGCAAGACCCTGTCTCAAAATAAATAAAAAGGATTGGCAATGTAGTTCAGGGTTCCCTGAGTTCAACCTCCAATACCACCCCTCAAAACGATCCATACTGAAAATAACATGAAACAAGATATAGAGTATGTATTTATAGCCATGCTGAATAATTATAAGAGTATTGAGCAGTGTTGGGGGTGTGGTGGCATATACGTGTAACCCCAGCAGTTGTGAGGCTGAGGCAGGAGGATCACCACCAGTTTGAAGCCAGCCTGGGCTACATAGTGAGTTCAAGGCCAACCCAAACTACATAGCAAGACTCTGTCTCAAAAAACCAGAAAACAAATAAAAAGAACATGCAACAGATGTCACGTAGTACTGAAGTGCTGAAGTGAGGCTTCTGGAAGAAGCTGAGTTTCCCTTGGTGTTAGAGACTGTATATGATTTGGCCAGGCCTAAAGAAACAAGAGTGGCTTAGAACGAGTGTAAGGAAAGGCACAGAGTCAAACCCAGATGGACCCAGGGAGAATCAGCCTGTGTTGTAGTGTGGCAGACAACATTTAACAAGATTGTTTGTAGCCTTTAGTGTTAAACAACTCAACGGCCCAAATAGTCAGGACTTGTCTGTTTCTACATCTGGTCACTCAAGCACATTGGCTCATTTATTAAGACTAAGTTGTAGGCTTGAAGTAAATAATAAGATTTTTAAAAAATTTAAGGCAGTCTGTATTTCTATTCATATTTAGCTCACTTGCATAAATTCTAAATATAAAGAAATGAAGGATGCAGTCTTTCCACTAATCTAGGGGATGCAGAGGGAACTGCTAAAGAAAAACTAAATTCCCCCTGGATTAGGGTACTTGAACAAAAGTCTGCATTCTGTGTTCAAGGAGAGAGAATTGCTTACTTAACACCCGATAGCCTATGTTTGGCTCTTTCATTTTTGTCCACAGGAGTTCTCATTTGCTCAGAGAAAATGGAAAGCAAAAGAAGTATACCCGCTATAGACAGCTCAGACTCTTAACAGCATTGTTAGACCTTCTGCTCAGTTCACGGCTGCCCGCTGTCAGTCCAGTCTTTGTAGTGGGGGAGTGAAGATGGCCAGCAGAGGCCACCACTCGGGGTGGCTCACACTCCATTTGTTTTATTCAGTGAATCTCTCCCAGGATTGCATTTCAGTTTCACTTCCTAATAGCTAGAATGTTTTAGGGGCAGGGGAGAACAGCAGACGGACAAATCATTGAAATATTGGGTGCATTATACACCGTGCACTCCGACCTTTCCAGGTGGCCTTTTATTGCTGGAAACTATTTATGAAATACAATAGACCTTTCCCTTATGTTAAAAAATGTGACTGTACAATAGGCCTTTGACATTTGCTAGAGTATTTTCTGAGACCTTTTCCATTTCCCCAAATTTGCAAATACTTTTGTAGATTAGCAGTTGACTTTCTTTTGAGGTCATCTGACAAGGAATAAACCTTTTATCTTCTGATGGTGATAAATATAAAGTACAACAAAACCTGAAAGATACTGATCAGCGGGTAAGCATACAAATCGCCTAAATGACTTGGTGATCTGCATACCTCGAAGCAGAAATTATTCTGTTTTGCTTCTGCAGAATTGTATATGGCACATGTCAGAGGTCTTAGGGGTCTCTTCACCTTCCATGCCTTAGACCATTTTTCTTCGTTCAGTTATCACCGCCCTCCCCCCACCAAGACAACAAACATTGTAAGCCACCCCTTAAAGCAAATCTTACATTGTGTTTAGTGAAGTTGTGACTAATTTAATGAAAACTCACAGAAGCCTTATGTTTGTACATAAAAACACCATCTAACATTTACAAGTATCTACCACATGACAGGCATGGTGCTGTGCAGTGTCATGTGTTTCCTTGTCTTTCCCAAGTACTGGAGTCGTCCGTGGTAGAGTTTTTTATAAACACCCTTTGAACCGAACTGGTGATAGACCTTGGGCCACAGGCACCCCTCAGCCTTCTGTTCCTACCACTCCCCTACTTATCACTTAATTCTTCCAGCTGTGCCAGGCCAGGCAGGAGTTTGCCCCTGCTGAGACTGGCTCCCTTCAGCATCTTGCCCTGGGGTAATTAATAAGGTTGCTGAGTAGGGGTAAGTTAAAGTCACATCTGTTTGATGCAGATCTCCTTGTTTTTTTTACATTATAATATGTTCACAGTTTTTCTCTTTCAGATGGTACAAAAATTTATTCTTTGTAAAACACCCCTCCCCCGCCATACCTAGATTTCTCTCTGATCTCTTTGGCCTTACTATGAGTTTTTTTAAAGTGGGAAGATACATAGGATTTCTTTTATTATAACCTTTTTATTTTTTTCAATACTATATTTACCAGTTTTTCCTCCATTTTCTTAGAGCACACTTGGAAAACATACCCTTATCTTAAAATATAACATTAATTATATAACATCATACAAATATTGTTTCTGCAATAATTACTAAAATGTTAGCCCCAAGCATCTTAATTTTCACCATTTGTTTGTTTATATTTCTACTAGAGTCTAAACGTTGACACTATCAATCCATTCTAATTGTGCTTTCTTTTTTTTTCCTTACCTGTTAGCCATTGAGTCTC